ACAAGAATGAGCCAGCCAAAGTCAAGAAACCAATACCAGAGAAGCCAAATTCTGGAGTCCTTGTGAATCAAGCTGGAATAACAGCAAGATGAAGTCTGAAGTCATAAGCTCAAGCGCAAACAACAAACAAAGATATGTGAGCCAGTGCCAAGATTCAAAATCGATGTAGCCAAAATCAGAATTCCTGGAAGTCAAATGGGCAAAGTCAGGTCCAGAAGAAGCAGGCACTGGACTCAAATCATAATAACGTTGTCCACCACAAGAGAGTCACAACATTCAGTTATTTATATCTCTATATCCCAGCTGCTGCTTGATTAACTATGTCTTTCAGATTATCTCTGAGACTGGAGGTACCTTGCTCTCTCTATCTGACACTCAAAAGGTTTTGGTATGTTCAACCCTTCTGTAGCTTGCTTAGATGTACTTGCTTCAGTTAAGGGGTCATCTTCAAGAGTGGCTGAGCTAGACAGGGCAGACTGCTGAGAGCTACTGGCCTCCAACTCCTCTGCTGGCCCTTCTAGCAACTCTTTGTCCTCACTATCTGAGTTAGCTATGACAGAATGAAAATAAAATACCCTATAAACCCAACACAGCCAAACAGCAGAAACTGTGCATCATTGCCCCATGAGGAGAGTCGCATTACAGAGGCAGGATCGACTGATCATCTGCCCCATGTGATGAGCCATGTCATTACACCTTCACAATGAAAAACCTAGACTGACTCCCTGGTAACTGAGCATCCGACTTTGCTTAGTCAAAGAGGTCATCGGTCTCCTTGTTTTGTCTTCTGGTTCTGCTTTATCCTCTGACTCTCTTTCCTGACTGCTGATTCCCAGTTACCAGTTCACTCCGGACTGCTCACCACAGCCAAGCACCTCAACTTTCCAAATCAATGCTCACAACCCCGTAGTCATGTTGGTTTGGGACAGTCTTCTCATATCTTCTAGTGATAATTCGTCCAATGTTTCTCCCCAACCTCTAAATCAGGGGTTCTAGAAGTCATTGGAGAACAGCTCCCATCACTCTCCACCACTGGCTATGCAGCTATACTCCAAAAGTCTGATTCCCAGACTTGTTGAATCAATGAGCCTGTAAATTCTAATTGATTAAATTGGTCTACTCTTGTTGAGACTATTGGATTCAGGATCAGCCTTTTAGAGTGCCAAGAACAAAAAATATATACTATTTATTTACTTAATTTATACCCCGCCTTTCTCACTCTGCAGGAAACTCAAAGGCGGCTTATAGGCTCCAGCAAAAATCCAATGGCACATATAAACATAACAATAAAAACATACCCCATCGAACTATAAAAACAATCAAACTCATAAGCAAATAAAACACATAGAGCAATAAAACATGTTAAAAACATATAAAATGCCAAATATTGATTCCATACTTATTGATTGATCCATAATCCTTATTCAGACTGTGTCAAAATGCATAATATCTTATTCTCCAAATGCCTGCATACAAAGCCAGATCTTTTTTTCTGAAGACCAGAAGGGATGGGGTCTACTTGATGTTTCTGAGGAGGGAGTTCCACAGCTGAGAGGTGCCACCACTGTCTCTTGTTCCCGGGGTAGGACTGTGAGCAGGACCTCCCTAGCAGATCTTAAAGCTCTTGTTGGCTCATAAGGGGAGCTGTGTTTGGCCAGGTAAGTTGGACCAGAACTGTTTAGGGCTTTACAGGTCAAATCCAGCACTTTGAATTGGGCCCGGTAGCAAACCAGCAGCCAGTGGAGCTGACACAACAGAGGAGTTGTATACTCCCTGTATTCTGCTCCAGTAAGGAATGTGGCTGCCACCCATTGGACTACCTGAAGCTTCCAGACAATCTTCAAAGGCAACCCTACGTACTATTCCCTTTCTTTCAAAAGCAGAAGTCCTGGTTTGGGAAAGAGGCAATCTATGATACATTTGTGACTCCCCTTCCAACCCAGTTGCCAATTCTCATGCACTTCTTGGCAGTCATTGTGTTGAGAATTCCCTTTTACAATGTTGCTTGAGATCTGCATTATCAAACATAACTGATGATGGAACTCCACCACTGTAGCTACATCTGACAATGACACTCCCCACAACCTACCTTTTCAGCCCGGCAACGCCCCTAACTGAAGGGTGTCCAAGGTGTTGTATACTGAGATGCTGGGAAATCGTGTTTTTTTCCACTGACTGGGTACAATGAGAACAGCCAGCTCTGGAGACCACTCAGGATTCTGCCTCAACTGCTTGCCTGAATACATCCCATGACTAGGATAGCACTGAACACATCATTCCCCGGTGCCTCAATCTGCAGCACCCTTTGGATGGGGCACTACTAGACTAAAAACTTTGGTATAAGGAACGTACATCCATCTGGTAACAATCATAAACATCAAGCCCAGCAGTTACAAGATCTTAAATCCAGTTTATGAACTACTGAATAGGATACCAACCAGTATTTTTAAAACCTGTGGCTGTCTCAAAGGTAGTAGACAGATTCTTGCAATGCAAAAAAAGACTAGTGTCTTCATACTGAACCAATTTGAAGAGGGGTTTTTTTTAGGGGGGGTACTTTTTGTTTTCTTATGGGAGCAGTTGAATCTTCTAAACTAACAGCAAGGTAAGCTAGAGCACCAAATTAAAAGAAAGATCAAAGTTAAATATTTATTCTGAGAGCAACAATATTTGCAAATCTGGAACTGATCTTTTGGAGTTTTCTATTTGCATACTTTAATTAATCCAAAAAATATTAAAACTAATCTCACAAAGGAAAGGGTCAGAGTATTAATTAACTTGAGATTCATTGCTTTTGTATAATTTAGAAGTTCGACACAAAGCAGAAAACGGCGTTAATAAAAACTAAGTTACTGTGACAGGTATAATTTCACGGATTAACAAAACTTCCAGCATTCTTACCAAGTTTACCACTAACTTCAATTTTTTAAAGTTACCTGCTTCAATTAAAATGTTTTTCTCCTCCAGATGAAAATTACATTTCATTCTTCCCTTAACCTCAACATTTCTCGATTAATATGATTTTTCTTTCATGCAGCTCTGAATGTAACATGGGTCATAAGCACAGTAAATGGGAAATTCTAAATAAGAATGAAATAGCAACCACTTTTATACAGCACAACTGTATTTCCAGTACAACAGTTGAGGTTCTCATCAGTATAAAAATATCTCCATTCTTTTTGCCCCATCTCTATAGATAGGAATGAGTGGGTTGCAGGTGGGGAGGGGGGTGATTTGAGCTGCAAAATGAGAGTGATTGTGTTGCACAGCTTTCCTCTCAAACTATCAAGAATGACACAAACACAAATGAGTGTCTTGTCCCATCACCTGCCTGTAAGGGCCCAAAGCAGATTCCAGATAAGATTACAGAGGAGGAGGACTCCATTGACACACAGGGAAGATAGTCACCAAGGGTTGCATCCACCCCATTTCATACACATCCATCCCTTGTGAGCTACCTTCATTCCTTTTTTAAAAAATGTAAGTGACAAGAAGTTCATTTCTGCAACAAGGAGACAATTTGGGACTTAAAACATGCCTAAGGGGAACAGTCAATGAATCCCAACTGCTATAGGCTCTATTTCACAGAAAGGAACTAGAAAGACCACTCCTCCTGAGCATTCCTAGCCTAAGAAAGCCCTATTAAATTTGTGGGGTTTCCAGAAGTCAACAGGCAACATGAAAGCACACACATATACATGGGAGATAGCTTTCCCATGGTCAATTTGTTCCCTATTGTTTTTGAGAGATTAAAAGGGCCTTTTTCAGGCCAAATGAACTTCAGAGGCCTGAGAAATTGGAAGACATCCAAGAGGTCACATTGGAGACTTGAATGGACCAGAGGTGGCTCACAAGCTGTAATTTTCATCCTTAGTGTAAGAAGCCCAAAGCGGGGTGGGTAGGTCCTGAAAAATACCCTGACATTCTAGAATTCACTTAGGGAATGTGCAGGATGGGGAGGACACTGTATACGCTGCCTAGCTGCATCTCCCAGTCAGTGGCTGAGCTTCCGATGTAGTTGGTGGCCTAAATCCACCTTATCCTGAACTTTAAAAGAATTGTCCAAGGTCCTGAACCCTATCTCCCAAATAGATTCAGCATGTTGTAAAGCAGTGGTTCTCAACCTGTGGGTCCCCAGGTGTTTTGGCCTACAACTCCCAGAAAACTACCAGCTGATAGGATTTCTGGGAGTTGAAGGCCAAAACATCTGGGGACCCACAGGTTGAGAACCACTGTTGCAACGTCTCCTTTAATATTTCAGTTAAACCCAGCCAGATAACCTTGGCAACAAAAGTCCCCACTACTCCCAGCTCCAAAACATTTATCACCACAAGGATTTTGGGAACAAACATAATGATGAGTTGGAGCTGAGGCCCACAGCAGTAAGCTTAGTGCATCCTCTACATGAGGACTAATTGTTCATTTTGTCTATTGTCTATTGCTTATATTATTTTCTGTACCTTTGATTGTTGTAAGCCACAACGAGTCCCTTAGGGGAGGAGGGGGCAGGGCAGAAATAATAATAATAATAATAAGTATTATTATTATTATTATTGGCTGCCATTTCTCTTATTCTATGTAGTTACTGTACAATTCTATTTACTCAAAGTAGTTACAGACACACACTACTAAGCTGTACTAACTGACTCAATAGAGTACAAAATTCCACTACAGAGTGATCTGACTGCAATGTCTTTAATGGTTGAATAGCAAACGGAAGACTGTTTGGCCCAGGAGAGAAATGCACAACAGATTTTTAAAGTGGGTGGGGATGCGGAACAGACACATTTTATATCTTGATTTAAAAGGATAAAAAGGAAGCAGACGTGTCTTTGTCTGCTGTACAGACATCCTTTCAAGTTCCCAAAAGCCGTAGCTAACTTTGGACATGGATTTCTATTCAAACATAAACAAACATTTCTGTGAGGACGTTTGTTCCTTCCATCAACCCTTAAGTATAAATGGCAACTGTGAGTACATACAGGGCTTGGGTTTCTTACCTGCTCTCTGTGGTTGGATCGAAGCGTTCGCATACAATGGTGGCAGTGGTCTGTGTCCTTCCATTGTCTACATCTTGTTGAACTCCCCATTGGTCTGGATCGCTGACTCGGATGTCTATTATCTTCACACCTGGAGCAGCCTTAATTCTACCAGGAAAACAACAGACATGTCTTTAGCTCTACACAATGGCAAGGGGAAGTAAGGAATAAAACTGCACAGTGAACAGCCTGGGCGTACATTTTTCTATGAAAGTCATCCAGAAAGACTAACTGGACAATGGCTTCACAATGCATGAAGACAGTGCTCAAGAATTTACACCTATCTTTAATATACCAACAGAAATCCATGTGTTTCCAGGGTTTACTTTTGCAAATTTGATTAAAATATTTTCTCTAGGAATCTCTATGTGCTCCAGTGAAACTCTAAGGGCCCTTCCAGACAGGCCCTATATTCCAGGATTTGATCCCAGGTTTTTTGCTTTAAACTGGATTATATGAGTCCACACTGCCAGATAATCTGGGATAAACAGAAAACCTAGGATCAGATCCTGGGATATAGGGCCTGTTTGGAAGGGCCCTAAGTCCAACTCCCATGAGAAGGTGACCCCAAAATAAGATTTGAGGACCTAGGGATTTTTTTAGAAATGTGTGTGTGTTTTTAATTCCTTTTTTTCACACTTTCACAGGGGTCCTGTGCTCCTAACCCCAATGAATGTGGAGGGATGACTATAATTCTAAATTGCCAACCCCAAATAACAGGTTCGGTTACACCCTGGCTGTTCCTTTCCAGGGAAAGACAGGTAATAAATTCATCATCATCGTTATTGTTGTTGTTGTTGTTGTTGTTGTTATTATTATTATTATTATTTTGTTAATAAAAATGGATTTGTCCTTACGTTTTGTTAACATTTGTTTCAAATGTTTTGCTTTATAGCTTTATTTCATTTATATTAATTTGATTTCACCTGGTCCTACAAAATCACCAACTCTGGTCTAGCTCTGTAGGATGAGCAATGCATCACAGCCCACATTCTTCAGATCTTCCATCCATTCATCACTCTACAGACACTGGCATGCCTAGTCTGTCCATGTCTTGTAGCCTATTGACAGTAAGAACTGAATAGATTGTTTTCCACAAGAATTGCTTTAAAGGCTAAGAGTCACATTGATTCAAACACTGTAATCATGTTGTTTAATCCTCAACCAGGTGGGTTTTGCAAAATTGCACCAACAATTCCAATGTATTCAGAGTTAGGGCAGCTGGAGGACTTGTTTTGTTCTGTTTTTGTTTGTTTGTTTGTTTGTTTTTAATAGTTTCCCCCCATGTTTCCTTTTATGATTTAATTTCATCATGGAAAAGAATTTTAAAAATGAAAATATATTTCTAGTTGGTATCTATTGTGTTATTTTGGTTCCCAGAATTGACCTGACCTAACAGCCCAGATCCAATAAATGCTGACATTCCCATCTGCTAAAGCCAACTGCCACATTTTCTGGCCTTTCAGCCAGGAGGCAACACAACACATTTGTTGTCCATGCAAGGATACTCAATGATGCTATTTTTACCCAACTGGGCATCTGAATAAACCTACTGATGCAGCATATCCTGTCAGCTTGCCATTCGCCTCTGCCCTATAGGGGTGCCAGCAAGTTTGCTGGGTATTCAGCAGACCTGCCCCTTTGTCCAGTGCTAAGGTAAGTTTCACTCACTGTTTTCCCACCTAGCAAAACATGAACCTCTGACATCTAACATCTCTGTTTTATAGACTCACAGGCACACAGAACAATAGAATCATAAAGCTGGAAGACACACAAGGGTCATCCAGCCCACCCTTCTGCCATGCAGAAAAGCACAATCCAAGGACTCTTGGCAGATGGCCATCCAACCTCTGTTCAAAAGCCTCCAGAGAAGGGGATTCCATTGCACTCTTGAGACAGCATATTCCACACCTGAAGAGCTTTTATCGTTAGGAAGGTTTTCCTAATGTTTAGAGGGAATGCTTTTCCTGCTATTTGCATTGATTTCTCTATTGTGTTCTGATCTCTAGAGCAGCAGAAAACAAGCTTGTCCCCTCCTCAATGTGACATCCTTTACTATATTTAAACATGGCTGTTGTGTTCCCTTCAGCCTTCTTTTATCCAAGTTAAACACACTGAGCTCTCTAAAGTATTCTTCATAGGGTCACCTTTCTCTGGACTCCTTCCAGCTTGTCTGTCCCCTTCTTGAATCACTTTGTCCAGAATGGGACACAGTATCCCAGGTGAGCTCTTAGCAAAGCAGAAGATAGGGGTGCTATAACTTCCCTTTAGACCAGTGGTTCTCAACCTGTGGTTCCCTAGATGTTTTGGGCTTCAACTCCCAGAAATCCTAACAGCTGGTAAACTGGCTGGGATTTCTGGGAGTTGCAGGCCAAAACACCAGGGGACCCACAGGTTGAGAACCACTGCTCTAGACACTATCCTCTTATTGATTTAGCCTAGAATCACATTGGGTTTTTTAAGCTGCTGCATCACACTATTGACTCATGTTCAACGTGTGATCTACTAAGACTCCTAGATCCCTTTCACATGGACTATTTTAAAGCCAAGTGACTTCAGTTTCTCAGACCAGTGGTTCCCAACATTGTTCTGACCGGGGACCACTTGACCAGGGACCACTTTGAACAGGAACCACCCTCTAACATTAGTACCAAAAGGGTTACAAATCGGTTTTTGGTCAATTTTAGATTCGGTTTGGTTATTTGGGGTGCTGATTCAGAAAATTACACTGGATAGACCACATCACCTCTAGTTTCTGATACAGAACATATGCCATCCAATAGTCACATCTGCTCGCCCACAGCAAATCATATTTAATAATCTAGAGCTGATGTGGTAGTAGCAATCTTTCATGGGTAGTCAGCCTCTCCCCTACCCAACACCCCAGTTGCCTCGGCACTATAAGAGGGTTTCGTGAGACCGGTAGCTCTTGTTGCCGTGTGGTTTCGAGACAACAGTGTAGTAATGGTGAGGCCACAGACCATATTTCTGTTCCTGGGGACTACTAGTGGTCTATGGACCACAGTGCTGCAGTCCAGGCCAACGTCTGTACTTAACCACCATACTCCAGACCAAGTTAAATGAGCAAAGCGGTTTATTGAAGATTATATTTTTAAAACAATTCAGCAAAAATAGTAAAAACTTCAAAGTCAATATGTATAAAATAGTCCGCAAGATTCAAGGTACAAGAGTAATCCAAAATTCAAAAGCAACAGGACATCCAGTACAGGAATAGAGGAAAACTGGGAAGGCAAGGGAGCATAGAATCCAATACAAAAATCCAGGTACAATCCTTCAAACTTAGAAACATGAAACAAAAACAAAGTCACTGAACTAGAATTCTCTCATAAAGCTTGACTAGGACTTGGCAAGAGTCATTGCCTCAATTACCAACATTGACCAGACTGGCTGGAAAATTCTCCCGGCCTATCTAATATACAAATGAAGTCATGCCTCCTCACATGAGTTTCTTATATGGGCTTCTTCTGTAGCAGGCACTGTGACCTTCAGAGATTCTGCTGAGCAGCCCGAAGTTTATAAAAACTAAGTCTCCTATCAACCAGCTCATTATCTTGCAACTCATTGTACTCTGCACCTGGGATTTCAGTCTCTGAATTCTTTTCCCTAGAGACTGGCTCCTTAGCATCATCTTGGCAGCTCTCTGGAATGTGACCTTCACTAACTGCTGGAGACACAGAACTAATCATTTTCCGGACTTAAAATCTCATGTTGGCTCACCACAGGACCAGTTCCCTTGATCCATGTCCACATTAACATTTGTATCAGCCACAATCATGGGCTGAACTGGCTGAACTACAACACACAGGTTGGGAACCACTGCTGTAGATACCCATCATGATTTATAAGTAAGGATGCCTTATCAATTAAAGAAGCCTCATCGCCACAGCACACCACTCAGAAAAAGACTTACACTGGTGTAGGTTAACAGAGTTACTATCCTGGAATAACTCACCAAAAGGATGCCAGCTTTTTTGTCACACCAGTTATGGTCACAAGAACAGCAAGTATATGGTGAGTGAGCACTGGCAAAGCTTATAAAATCCACCAAAATTACTCCATATATAACTGGATTTATTTATTTATAATGTGCAATCACTTTTTGCTATGTGAAATGTACAATAGCAATGCTATGTGTCATGTTCAATAATGATGTTGTGTACAGTCTACATAGTCAAAGTTAAAGTCCAATAGCTTTTACAATAGTGTACAAAAGTTAATGTACAGTAACTTTCACTCCTGTTCAAGAAAAAGACAAATGAAATCCCCAATCCATATAAATCAAACCAAAAAATAGCATTGTAACTCAATGCGCAAAGAGCAGCAATCAATTACTGGCAGCAGAGATGCCAATAAAAGGCATCACAGCAAGATGTCAAAAACATAGGGATAAAAGTACTTACAACTCCAAATGACAGCAGAAATATATGGAGGATTAAATGGCCTGAGAGAATTAAAGCAATGTTTAGCTGTCATTAAAAAGACAACAAAGCAGGTTCTAGGCAGACCTCTCTGGAGAGGTTATTCCATAAGAGGAGGAGGCTACAACTGAAAGGGTTTGCTCCGAAGTAGCTACCAGGGTGCCTCAGTAGGCAAGAAAAACAGGAACAAGGGTCCGGATAATGAGCACTAGGTTTCAGAAGCCACATATTTGTCAGCTCTAATTTGGAAGAAAGTGAGTGAGAACCATGGGTATGTGTCTTTCAAATGCCACATTTATGACCACAAACACAAAAAGTAAGCTAGCCTAACAACTCTATCTAGGCAGAAAAAAGTCCTAGATAGAAAGAATGTCACTATTTTGTGGATCAGCTCTTTCCAACATGAGCTTTCCTAGATGTGTGGGAGTATAGATTCCAACATTGAAATGGGCATGCTGACTGGGATTATCCAAGTTGCAGGACAATTCTGCACAGACACTATGGGTGGTTCCACCCAGCCATATAATAATAGTAACAACAACAATAATAAAACAATAACTTTATTCTTATATCCTGCCACCATCTCCCCGAAGGGACTCAGGGAAGCTTACAGATGGCACAAAGTGCCTAATAACAAACATTAAAGTGAACACAATATAAAATACAATA